TTATGGCATGACCACACCCAATTTATGTTGGTCACGCCACGGGCTAGGTGTGACCACAGTTGAATTAGGTGTGCTCATAACAAACCCCATTTGACTTGGGTTTTCGGAAAAAGTTGTGAAGGGTTCGAGCCTCGTAGGATCTCTAAAGGGTCAGATATGAGCAATTATGATCCCGGGACCTCCGTAAAGGTCGTGAACACGACTCAAAAGTGCTCAAGAGAATGAATTGTTAAATGTGTTTCCGAGTAAATTGACTATAACATAAAATCCTTTTGTCCAGAATTTAGGCCTAGGGTACAGACACGGTGTAGGGTAACCTCTTTAACAGTTTGCATCACAAGAATATTCGTATCAGAAGACACGACCCCATGCCACAGGAACTGACGTTAACACGGAGGATATTGTAAATGATGTCAGTTTTGACAATGCCCAACTCAAAGCCCGATTATGACAATGCAGACCACAATACGATCTCGTCTCATTCGACGAGGATGTCTCATACCTTTGTTGCATCAAAAATAGGTGCCAACACATGTGTTAATGGATCATGGAATGATTGCTTCAAGTCAGCTAATGTAGCATTCACCATGTCAATAGCTCTATAACGCTAGTGATTGGCTCCTAAGAGTTACACTAAATGGTATAACTCATACCTATCGACGTTTCGTCAAAAAATTCTGCGAATGGCTGATGTGGCATATGCCACTTCAGTAGCGCCGTAGAGCCAAATTGACTTTTTTTTCCAAATAAAGGGGAAAGCCCGAGGCTGCTCTAAGTGTTGGTCATTTGGAGTTTCCTCCTCCCCCATTGGCTCCCTTGAGGCAAAATGAGGATTTAACCACCTCTCCTGCGCTTCTTTCTATTCTGGCACGGAGCACATCATCAGCGGCGATTTGGCTCATGACAGAAGCAATTGCGAACATATGGACTGATTTCAGAGGGCTAGAACATAAGAGACTATGACAACCTTTATGAAGGGTAATATTTTCTCTAAACCCTAATATTTTTCCTATTTTTAAAGCATTGAGGTATAGTTAGAGTCTAGTGTAGGCTAATGTTAGAGTAACCATTATAAGTGTTATTCTTATTTTTTCCCTATATTTTTTGAGTGATCGAGTGGTTTTAACCACTATTTTATCCTTGGCATTGACGCACAACATTTTGTGCAACAACATGTCATTATTTTCATAATGTCACGATGTCATTCACTTTCTGGTTAGATTGTGTTGGGATATTGTTTATGAGCGCGCCAAAACATACTCTTAGTCGAAAGTCAACATCAACACCTCATCAAATCTAGAGTCTATCCAGCCAAGCGTTGTAGTTTCCAATTTTAGCTCCCTGACTCTAGACAATGAGCCTCACTAAGACAAGAGACAAGGGGCTATTCTTAGGCCCTGGGCCTTAGACCATATGTTTTTTGGCATGACATCATGGCGTTGTTTCGCAGAGTGCAATGCCATAGATGATGCTTTAGAGCCACAATGTTGTCAATGGTACCACGACATTATGACTTACTCAAGAAATTTCATTCTCATAGAAGTATAGTCAGTGCATCGTATTTGTTACAGTGCAATGTGTGTGGATTCTTAGTTGTCTAGCCACTTTTGATGCTTTCATCGAATGATTTTTGCTGTAATTCTAGATCCCTATAGATTTGATCTTAGGGTTTATAAGCTAGACAATTGGTTGACCTAATTAAAGGAGTACATGCGTGTGTTGCCCTGATTATCAATACTTTATATGCACCCCCTAATTGATGGCTCTTAGATACATGTTGACGCTTATGACATGTACGAGTATCATGATTATATTAAACACACTTAATAATATGTCAGTTTTTGTAAGTATTTTTATGTATTATATGTTCTTCATTATTGACCATACATTAAAGAACATTGTAGTACATCCTTACTTGAAAATATCATTCCATCTAACAAAACATCTGGAATGACAACATCTTCATATATTGATTTTTGATTTATAGAAGCATCACAATCGTCAACTACATCCCACACTTCAGTTGTACCAATTGGCCTTGCAAATTGATTGTTCTCTATCATTAAATCTAATTTGTGTTTAGCTTTACATGTTGGCATAATAAATAATGTCCCGACAATGCATTATTTGGGTCAACATCTCGCTCACTGTGATCCTCATTTGCTTCTAGTTCACTTTAGTTTTAAATGGTGCCACTATCCATGGTTTCATATTCGCTTATGTTAACTTCCAAGTGCACACCTTGTGATGCTCGTTGCATAAAATGCTCAATAATTCTACTAACATAAGGGTGACATAAATGTGAGAGGTCAAATGATGGACGAGCGCTATAGTTAATCACTAGTTGGTCAAATTTTTTAAAGAACCCAGTGTCATATGTGTTGAATGAAATTGGAGACGACCAACAAATTAAAAGCCATTGAATTTATATTATTTTTTTTATGTAAATCTATATTAGTTTCACACAAAAAAATATTTACATTTCTCATAGCTATACATTTTAGTCACATATTCAATTTGAGTGACAAGAATGTGTGAAGGACTAGCAATGAGTGAAGGACCAAAAATGTCATAAGTCTTAGTAGGCAAGACCTCAATCTCAACATGAATGACTATCATGTGTTTTGTCACTTCTAATAACATAAATTCACATATTTTATCATCATCAACATGAATTGCAGTAAAACTAACACTCACAGGAAGTCGACAAACTATATTTATAGTATATTTTGAACCATCATGACAAAATAGACATATTATTTTTCTCTTGAATTCATTTAGTTTTAACTAAGATACTTAATAGGATGGATATGTCCACTGACGTATGTAATTGTAAAATCATATGTGACTAATAACTCTCCATCAAAACATATTACTAAATGTGACATACATATTGTAAAATGAAGCCTAGTCTTGCAATTGATTTAGTTGTACTTATGAACTTTAGTTTAGTAAAGAAGTTTGAAGTATAACCACAACTAACCTGATATATGCAATAAAATAAAATGAATTTGTAACTACAAAAACTTTCAGGTGATGGGCAATATACAAAGACCTCTTACATCTCAAGCTCTCCTAAGACAGTTTAGATATTTTCGAAAAAGTTCTTTATATCTTCAAATGCACCATAGTTCACACATATATACAAGATTTTTCTAATTTGTATTATCAAATTTATAACTAAGTAGCACCTAAATAATTAATATGTCGAATTCATTAGAGTAGAATAAATACATTTTGTTAGTGTAGTGTAAACATGTATATGAACTAAAAATTGTTAAAAGCCGTGATATATCCAATAAAATAAAATGTATTCATACTTACAAGAATTTCGGGTGAGGATGGGAGTACAATGAACTTTAACATCCCAAGCTTACCTTAGACAATTTAGGTATGTTTGACAAAATTCTTTGTAGCTTTAAGCAAACTATATTTCATACAAATATATACAAAATTATTCTAATTTGTCATATTTATAAATAAGGTGTACCTAAATAATTCATCTATGAAATTATAATAAATGACTTTGCATTAAAAAAAAAAAATCTAAATAAATTATAGTCTTACCTTGTTAACCAATAAGTGCAAGGCAAGACCCCAACAACACATGAAAGAAGAATATCATGACAACAAAAAAAAAATATTATCTACAAAATATTGAGCAAATTCTTAAGAGAAATTTAACACAAAAAAAAAATTATCCCGCAGGATAAAGGGATGAGGTTCTTACAAAAGGAAAACAATAGGTTTTTAATATATAAAATATGAAAGGGAAGGAGAAAAAAATTTAAGTTCAAAATTTTATGGAGACTCATTTAATACACCATAAATAAGTAATTATAACTATTTATGCTAAAATATTAAAAATTCTGTATGATATGTACATGTCATTGTTATGCTAGATGGTCAAGATACTATTTTTATTATTTGGAACGACAATCATGTACTGTCAGGTTTCCAGACTATATACAGGTTAATACTATCATTAAATTATTAAAACTAATTTTTAAATTATTATTATTAACTAAAATTTATTACATAAAATATAATTTAATTAAAATTTTATTTAACATAATTATAATCATTTATTTTCTTAAATTAAATAATTTATAACTAAAAATTTTGGGCAGAATTTGAACATGATGCAAATAATTTAAGAAAATTACATACTAATTACACATACACAGTGTGACAATACATTGAATAAGACTGATCCAGATTAAATATGAGAATATAAAATCATATCAATGAAATTATACTAGAAAAAAAAAATAACAAAAAATTGAGATCAATCAAAAAAACATTGAGACAGATCATAATATATATGGTGGGAGAAGCAGAAAATGAGAGAAGTTTCGTACTTTAATTAATTTAAATCTTACAAGTACTTCAAGGAGTGATAAAGAGAAAAAAGAAAGTTGATAGAAGAAAAATTGGGATCAATTAAAAAAACATTGAGACTAATCAGAATATGTCTTGTAGGAGAAGAAGAGAATGAGAGAAGTCTCGTACTTCAATTAATTTAAATCTTACAACTACTGCAAGGAATGATGAAGATAAAAGAGAAAGTTTATAGAAGATAAATGATGGAATAGAATGATAAAAGATGAGAACGCGTCAGAAGAAGTCTTGTCCTCGGTTAAAAACTAGAAAAGTAGGAAAAGCATGTGCTTGGAAGAAAATGAGAGAAGAGGCTCAGGAAAGAGAGCAGGGAGGGGGATATGTAAGAAAGAGAAGAGGAGGGAATTGCTTTCATTTGGAGACATTTGATGCAAATTGTGTGAAATGCCATTCATTGAATTGTTCGTGCTCATTCTCAATTTTTTTCCTCTTAATTATCTCTCATAATAAAAATATGTAGGAGTTCATTTCTATGATTTTTATGAAGCGAGAAATTTATATACATATTAAAAAATAATAATTTATGCATCAAAAAGCCAAAATTTTATATTTACAATTATAAATTTTAGCTAAATAATCATTATAATGTAACGGGCCTTTCTTCTTCCAGCGAGTTTACCAAGTGGCTATGCTCGGTCTCCCGTCACTCTCCTTTCACTGCGACCTCTGGAATCTTGTACCTGCGCCGCTCCGCCGCGGCGCACCTTAGACATCCTCATCGCGCACCATTATCTTCCTTCTTTGTTCTCTGTTGACGCCGTCGCCGACGAAGACAACGGCGATGGCCTCTCATGGTGGCAATTCTAATCAGTTCGACATGCAGAAGCTCTTCAAGCCCCCTAATCCCTCGCTTAATGCTAACCCTAACCCTAACTCTAACGCTTCTTTCCTCCCTCCCTCCTCTTACGCAGCCGGTGTTCCTCATCTTCCCTATCCGACGGTGCAGCCTCCAGGCGCCTTCAGCTACGCGACGCCTACTCCTCCGTTCCATCACCATCCCTTTATCCACTACCCTCAAGAAAACCTTTACCGTCCCGGTGTTTCTTATCCCGTTCAACCGTCGATCCCACCCAACCCTAATCCTGGTCTGAATAACTCAGGACAGAATCCGGGTGCCCGACTCATGGCCCTCCTCGGAAATTCCCCTCCCGCTCAGCTCGAATTTGCCGCCTCGATGCCACCGGCTTCTGCACCGTCGGAGCTTCCTGCGACGCTCTACGCGGTTCCTTCTGCTCCGCCGGCTGTTATGGCGGTTGCTCAGGCACAGCCGGCGAGGTTAGCGAGCACAAAGATGCCGAGGGGGAGGTATCTTGGAGGAGGGGAACGAGCTGTGCACGATGTAGACTCAAGGTTGCCGGGGGAGACGCAGCTGCCGCAGCTCGAGGTCACGCCGATCACGAAGTATACGTCGGACCCGGGGCTTGTACTTGGAAGGCAGATCGCCGTTAACAAGACCTACATCTGCTATGGGCTTAAGCTTGGCGCAATCAGGGTTCTCAACATCAACACTGCATTGAGATCACTCCTCCGGGGCCATTCACAGGTCTGTCCTTTTCCATTTCAAACTTTTGAGGATAATATGTCCAAGCTAGTCTGTTCTTTGTTAAATTTTTTTGGCATGTTACATTGGTTTCAAGCTCGCTGTGATTTGTTTCGTTTGAAGGAATGAGGATAAGGTTTGGGTTTGGGGGGAGTTTATTGCTTCAAATGATTTTGTTGCACTTCGTCGCTCTATTTTGAATTTTGACGATTGTATCAGTTTTTGAATGAGCCGTCTTTGGTGGGTATTGTGTATTAGGTGAGGATAGAGATGCTGGGACTGACAATGTTCTAATGTGATAAATTACTTCAAAATTATCAAGTATTTATGGAGCAGGAAAAGGTAGCACAGTGGCCAGAGAATGTTGTTTCTTCATGTTTATGGGCTACATTATGTCTATTTGAATTATTCATATCTTTTTAGCTTTACTTCTTCATGTCTGCTTGAACATGGGGCGATTAGGTCTTCACCATCAAATGCTCAGCTGATTTAACTGACTTTATGAATTTTTTTGACAGAGGGTGACTGACATGGCTTTCTTTGGAGATGAAGTTCACCTTTTAGCAAGGTATTCTTTCATAGGTTATCCATGCTTTTCCTGCATTATTTTTCATTTCTGTTTTCTAGCTGTTTTGCTTTTCTCGTGCAGTGCAAGTGTAGATGGGAAGATTTTTGTATGGAAGGTTGATGAGGGGCCTGATCACGAAGACAAGCCTCAAATCAGTGGAAAACTTGTTCTCGCTATTCAACTGATAGGAGACAGAGAGTATCTTCCAAGAATTTGTTGGCACTCACACAAACAAGTAATGGCAAACAAAACTTTGCATTGACCAACACTACTGAGGTTTCCAAATCAATCTAATAGGCGCTTTACATCACCACACATCTGATACATAGATGCACTCATGGTTTAAACTTGCACGATTTAAGGCATACCTCAATGCTTTTTGGATGAGGCTTATGATTCACATAGTATGAGGCCCACCTCGAGCGCGCCTCACCTAAGTTTTGGTGAGGCGTGCATAATTTGATCTAGGATTTTCTTAAAATAGATATAAGTAAGATAGCACGTATAAATATTTCCTGTTTACCCATATAATTTACAATTGATAATGTAATTAAGTTGTCACCATTAACATAGTCAATATTTTAAAATTTAATTAACCTAAGAGGAAGATGATTGGGATTTAAGATGAGTTGGAAGAATGAGAGAATATGGATATAATTGAGGATAAAATGAGGAAGCCAAAAAATCATTATGCTGATGGTTCCAATGATGACTTATTAAGTGATAAGAGGTGAAAATTTTTGAATTTATAAATTCTAACCTTAGTGATTTGTGATGTTATTTTTTATGGAGGACAACATGAATGGAATATGGACTATTTGTACCAAATTTATTTTAAATTATTAGGTTATTATGGCTTATTTTGATGTTTGTATAACCATTCTTATTTTACGATTTAATATTTGGGTGTTATCATGTTACTTCTTATTTCGAATAATTTATTAATTTTATTATTATGTCTATATTAGGATGTTAATATAATACATTTTAATTTATTAATAAGTAATTATGTCAATATTTTATCTTTTATTACATATTTTGAACTTAGTAAAATATATGAACTTAGTAAAATATATATTTTCTTGGTGCAATTGCTAATTTTGAGGCTTACACCTCAAAACGCTTCGAGGCCTACACCTTGCCACATGAACCAATAATGTCTCAGTACTCATTTGCACAATTTAAAACATTGGATGTACTTATTGACTGGTGACACCATTTGTTGTAGAATGGTGTGAACTCGTCCATATGATGCTGGAATCTTTTATCTTTTGACTGGATATTTTTTTTTTCAGGACATTTTGGTTGTTGGAATCGGTAACAATGTATTGAGAATCGATATTCCAAAAGTTGGGAGAGGCACTGAATTTTCTGCAGATGATCCTCTCAAATGTCCTCTTGAACAACTGGTTGATGGGGTGCAATTGGTAGGCAGACATGATGGAGAAGTTTCAGATTTGTCAATATTACAATCGATGACAACCCGCTTAGCTTCAGCTTCAAATGATGGCACGGTTTGTATATGCACCTGATTAATTGTTTCTCTGTTTATAAACACAAGTTTTCACAGAATGTTTTACTTGATTATCCACCTTTAATTTAATTAATATTTGCCAACTTGAATGTTTAAACTCCTATATTTGATTTTTCTCTTATGTAATTGAATGATTAATGGTTGATGCCTTGCTGAGTGCTGGAAAAAAAAAAAATGCTTTCGTTGAAATCACTATGCTTATGTTTTTCCGCTTTGACAACTTGCAGAACATGAAATATAGATGGAAATATTGTTGATTTCCTACACCAAAACTCATTTGAACTATATAGTATAACTCCCAACCGCTATTCTTGGTGGTAATTATATCTCTGCTTTTTGTACTTTCGTGTAAGATAACTATCAAGTGCATACAGTTTTTATATATATATTTTTCTTAAATTCCATTTGTTTTCCAATTTATTATTCCAATTTATACTTTTCTAGGGGAAAATGACGAGTTAAACAGTGATTTGAACATGCTAATAATTCAGTAGAAGTGCAAATTGCTCTATTCCAATGTATCTTTTTTGTGGGAAAGCGAATTTTAAGTTGCATTTTATATTTGTCTGCCTTGTATTTTCCTCTTGGCTTATGGTAAAACTTAAAATGTGCCATTACGTTATGTTGGTTTGATTAATTATTGCAAGTGTCCTGATTAAATAAATTTGATAAATAGTTTATCTTTCAATTTATAGGGTTCCCAATCTTTAAGATTCAGCTTCTTATATCTATTATTAACTATTTTTTTTTGTGGCTATTTTTGTCTGCCACTAATTGTAGTATCTAAATACCTATATGCAACTGCTGATCCTGGGATTCCCAAGGAAGGGTATTGATTGGTTACAGTCTAGGATCACTAAGTGATTTTTCATTGTCACTGATTTGCTATAATAATTAGATTGCTGATGTGTGCATTTTGTTGTCACCTCTTTTTTTTTCTTCTATCTATATACATGTATGAAAATTATAAAACCTTAATCTTTCTTAATGTTCAAGTGTTAGGTGATTTGAATTTCTTAGTTCTGTTAGATGTCAGGGTTATGAAGAGAGCATTCTTTTGGGACTTTCATGGGCATATGACCCTTATGGCGTGCAAAAATAATTGAATATTGAAAATTCTAAAGGAACAAAATATTTTTCTCAAATTTTATGCGTGATGTTGAATGTGTGTGCTTTGAGAATTTCGTAGGTTTTGAGGACTACTTTTGGTGGCGGGTATTCTTGAAATGTTGTGAGGTGTTGATCCTTTCTTTTTGGTGATTTTTATCCGCATTCTTGCTGTTATTATTTTTTTGTAGCGTGTGTGATTGAATTGTTGTCAAATGCGATACATGCTAGATTTCTTTTCATAGTGGGAATCTTTTTGCAGTAATTTTTTACTTTTTCATATTTTTTTGTGGAATTTTATATTTTGATTACTATTAAATATTATTTGAAATGAAATAATTTTGTTTGTTATTTTTCAGGTGATTAGGTTTTGTTGAAATTAAAATTTGGAATAATGCGATTTGTGGCTTTTAGTTTTTGTTAAGCTTTATCTCATTCTAGATTTTATTATTGAATTGTGAAAGTCATAGTAGTAATTCTAGGATTTACATTAATATTCAAACCTTTCATTGTTCTCCTACCAAGTCCGTGGATAATTAATCTTCTAAATTCTGCTTTATCAAATTCTAAAAACTAAATTAATGTGTAGCAATCATCGATAGATATACGGAAGGGTATTGCAAACTCAAGTCCATTCAACACTTGCATTCATTACATTATATCATGATTTGTTCTTCCTGTATTTGCGTTGCACGATATGCTGCAGCTGCCATTCAACACCTCTAAACGTGGTTCACAGGATCGTGATAAATAAATTTTAGTTGATTTCCACGTGTGAGGATTCATTATACGTTGAGTTATGCATTTTTTTGTTATGTAATATCTGGTATATGATTTTGGTTTTGATGAGTAGGTTCTTTCGGGTTTTCCCTTCTACCTTGAGGCTGGCTTTGCAGTGTATTTGTTAAATAAGTCATTTTCTGTTTCGCTTGTAGCAATAAGGATTACTAATATTTTTTTCCCATTTTTTCTAAGTAGTTTCAGAGACGTTATTCTGTGAGTTTCAATTCCCGTCATTCATTCTTTATTGTATTTCATCTTGATAATGGCAAAAAATAGAGTGACTTCAGCTAGAGTCTACTTATTTGATGTCACCATTAGCTATCAAGTTGTGACTCTTTTGCCTTGTTCATGCTAATTTAATGTACCTTGAAAACTATTACCTGTTTCATCAATAAAAACCCTCAATCTATCTATTGTGAAACTTGCCAATTACTAAAACATTTTTGAAATAGTTGTCTTGGTTATCTATATAACCCCTCACAGCCACGTGGAATATTTTCATATGCCAAATGGCATATAATTTTTGTTGCAAGCCATACTAGAAACATACGGATCTTTCTAATGAAAATATATCTAAATTTTGTTTTTATTGTTAAAATGTTCAATTATTTAAGAAATCTAATTTAAAGTCCAGTTTCTTGTCCTTAAGATTCACAGCCAGAGAGAACTATTTTATTCAATTTTTGGTGATTATCTACTTAAACCAATATATGTCCTTTGAAGTACTTATTTTCATCCTTACCAAAATGAGATGGCTTTAGGGAAGAATTCACATCTTTTGAAAACTGTTCGATTAGTTATGATCACCAGTAACATTTCAAAATATTATTGTTAGGAGACTATATTTGCTGTTGCATATTTGATAAATCACATCCATTAAGAATTCTGAAATTCAAATATTCTCATTGATTGAAAACTGTTCGATTAGTTATGATCACCAGTAACATTTCAAAATATTATTTTTAGGAGACTATACTTACTGTTGCATATTTGATAAATCACATGCCATTAAGAATTCTGAAATTCAAATATTCTCATTAAACTCTTATCGAAGCTTATCCCTTAGACTATTTATAAAATTCATCTCAAGGTTTTTTGTTGTTCCCTTTTTGTGCATTTTTCTCCAAATTAAAGGTGCAAATTAGACCCAACTGTCATAAAATGTTATTATTTAGATACTCACTTCACCAACAATGCTTCAAATGTTTCTCTCCATACTAGAAAAGCTATTTCATGACCATAGATGCAGCCTCTTTTTTAAAAAAATCAACCTACCCCACTACTTTTTCTAACTAATGTTTAAGAGTGTTGGCCCCAACAAATCAGCGCCTCAGACTCTCGTGTTGAGCTGAGAGCTTTTTGTTTGGTATTTTGGGTCTAGTTTTCAGAAGACAGATTGAATTGTAGAGAAGACACCATTAATATATTTTGTCCTCATTTTGTGAGTGTTTTTTGATAAGGGGTTTGAGGTTTTTCATAAGCGTAATCTGACATGATTAATTACGTCTTTTTAGAACAAGAGATAACTTTCGATTTAGGCTAATCATTAAACACCGAATATTCAATATATAATAACAACATTCAAAGTTTTAGGCTATCAATTTTATAACCTTGAGCTTAAAGTGGATGGTGGAGAAAATAATGTACTCGATCAAGATCCCATGATTTTGTCTAGGGCTGTAAACGCCGATCTTAGGTTCGACTTGTTATAAAATATCGTTTATATAATAAGCTAAAAAATTTGTTCGTATTCGGTTTGTTTGCTTATCGAGCCGAACACGAGCTGTTAACGAACAAAGAGTCATTTTAACAGCTCTAGTCGCGCAGCCGTAGGATTTTAAGTGTAGGGGCGAGATTTAAATCTTATTATTTATATTCAAATATTCATTTAAATTGAGTTTAATATATTTTTATTCTATATTTTGATTAATAATTTTAATTAATTATAAATTTTTTAAGCTTTATAGTTAATTAAATTATTTAAAAATAATACTCATCAATTATCTATTTCTCTATCTATATAGACTTTAATTATTTCTAGCGAAAACATGCTGCACATAAACGAACAAATCTTTGTTCATATTCTGCTTGTTTATATATTGAGCGCAAAAAAATTATTTGTGTTCAACTCGTTTGCTTAACGAATGAGTCGAACACGAGCTACTTAATGAGCCGAGTGCGAGCTGTTTACTAACAACGAGCCATTTTGACAACCCTAGTTATGTCGTTTTGGGTCGTCGTGGTCCTTGATTTACTTAATTAGAGGAGTTAATCAACCCAACTTGATCGAATAATCCATGTAAGTAGCCCCGAGTTTCTTAGGGTCTGTTTGGGCCGGCTGTTGATTATTTATAATATGCTGATAAACAGATTATTCTGATAATATGCAGATTATCAGAATAAACTGACTTGCTGTTTGTGGGAGCTTATTCAGAATAACTTATTGATAGCTGTTGCTGGATAAATGACCATTTTGCCCTTTTTTGGTGAAACTGTTTGCAATAGAACTGTATGGGAGGAGTAATACACAGAACATAAGTCTTAAACTGTTACAGATCAGTTAGAAAAAATAGAATACACTGCTCACTATCTCGTGAGTATCAGAAGAAATAAAATAAAGAGAAATATAATTACAAGATTAAAAATTTTAAAATGTTTAATTTAAACTCTGACCCCATCTGTCCTCAACTGTTCTGTCCTACTGTGAAATCGTCGTACAACGATCACTGTTGTCAACGGAGTATGCCGGAATGTCGGCCCAACGGAAGAAACCACATCGCACTGCAATGCCCCTCCGACAACCGTAAAACTATCTTCCACTGCTGGGAGACTGTCGTGACGTGAGTAATGAAGCCAACAATCCGCAGTAACACAACACAACTTGGGAGGTCCCTGAAACCCTAGAACTCATGCTGCTATTGAGATAAAACAATAGAAAATCATTTGTCATATCAGAAAATTAAATTACATTCTATAAAGCAACAAGAGAACCAAAACAAACGAAAAAAATAAACGAAAACTGGTTCGACCGAAATACGCATAAAAAAAGTGAGTGTGCAGCCTCAGACTAGTAACTACACCAACCCACTT